GACCCGCCTCTCTTGAGCTCCTTCTTTCCCTTTATCCCCAAATTTCCTTGCATAAACCTCCCTCCCCTTCCCAAATAAATACCCCAAAATTTATCCATTTCTCTCTTTGTAACACCTGACTCCTACTGTTCTCCATCAAGTTCTTTCTTTCCCTTTAGTTCATAATTCCTTTTCATTATCCTGGTTCTTGCAGTTATATCTGGATACATACTCACATATAAGGATTTGGTGCTACGATACACATATGAGGGAGAACATATATCCATTTGTTTTTTTGAGTCTGTGTTACTTCACTTAGTATAACAGTTTCTAGTTCCATCCATTTACCTTCATGATTTCATCTTTCTTTACCAATGAGAACTCCATTGTTTAAATGCATTATCCACTTGTCAGTTGAGGAACACTCAGGTTGCTTCTATCTCTTAGCTACTGTGAAAAGAGCAGCAACAAACATGGATGTACAAGTGTCTCTGCAATCGGATGAGTTATTTGGGTATATGCCAAGGAGTGGTATAACTGGGTCAAATGGTAGGTTCATTTTTAGTGTTTTAAGAGTTCTCCACACTGCTTTTTATAGGGGCTGCCATGAGTTTGCAATCCCACAGCAGTCGATGAGCGTTCCCCTTTCCGCACATTGGCTCCAGCATTTGGTATCAGTTTTTTCTATTGATCTTAGCCAGTCTGACTCAGGTAAGATGAAATCTTAGTGTTTTTTAATTTGAATTTCCCTAATTACTAGTGATGTTGAACACCTTTTAAGATGTTTCTTAGCCATCTTTATTTCTTCTTTTGATAATTCTCTATTCATATCCTCAGCCCATCTTTTAATTGGGTCACTTGCTTTCTTGATTCTTTTCATTTTTGAGCTCTTTATGTCTTCTGGATGTTAAGTCTCTGCCACTTGTGAAGATTTTTCCTACTCTGTGGATTTTCTCTTCACTCCTTTCATTGTTTCTCTTGCTATACAAAAGTTTTTTTTATTTAATGAGGTCCCAGTTGTTGATTATTGACCTTAATTCCTGAGCAATTGATGTCTGGTTTACAAAGTCCTTTCCTATACTTATATCTTGTAGGTTACTGTCAATGTTTTCTTCTAACATTTTCGGAGTTTCAGGTTTCACATTGATCCATTTGGAGTTGACTTTTGTGCAAGGTGAAAGATAATAGTCTAGTTTCATTCTTCTACATGTGGAGATCCAGTTTTGCCAGCACCATTTGTGGAAGATGCTGCCTTTCCTTAAGTATGTGTTCTTTGGCCCCTTTTTCAAATATCAGGTGGCTGAAATTGCATGTACTCATAGTTGGGTCTTCAATTATGTTCCATTGATCTACAGGTCTATTTTTGTGCCAGTATCATGCTGTTTTATGACTATAGCTCTGTAATATAGTCTGGTCTGGTATAATAATCCTCCTAGCATTGCTTTGTGCTCAGCGTTGCTCTAGCTATTTGGATTTTTGTGCTTCCATATAAATTTTGAAATTTTTCTAATTCTGTGAAGAATGTCATGGGGATTTTGATTGGGGTTGCATTGAATCTATGTATTGCTTTTGGTAGGATGGTCATTTTCACAATATTAATTCTTCCAATCCATAAGCATGGGAGGTCTTTATATCTTCTGGTGTCTTCCTCAATCTCTTTTGTTAAAGTTTTAAAATTTTAATGGTAGAGGTCGTCAATGTCTATGGTCAGGTTTATTCCAAGATTTTTTTTAGGCTATTGTGAATGGAGGGTTTCCATGTACCCTTTATACAATTGCTTGTTATTGGTATATAGAAAGGCTACAGAGTTTTGTAGAACAATTTTATAACTTGTCACTTTACTGAAAGTGTTAGTCATTTGTAGGAGTTTTCTGGTGGAAATTTTGGCATCCCTTAGATATAGTATAATATCATCTATAAATGGGTATAATTTGACCTCTTCTTTTCCAAATTAGAACTCCTTTAATTTCCTTCTATTGTCTTATTGTTCTAGCAAGAGTTTCAAGTACTCTATTACAATGGAGTGGAAATAGTGGAGAGCCTTGTCTGGTTCCTGATTGTAACAGGAATACTTCCAGTTTTTCTCCATTTAGAATTATGCTGGCTGTGGGTTTGTTGTATACAGCTTTAATTATGTTGAGGTATCTTAAATGCATGTTGAAGTTTGTCAGAGGCCTTTTCTATATCTATTGAGATGACCGTGTGGTTTTTGATCTTGAGTTCATTTATGACTTATGACATTTATTGACTTATGTATATTGAACCATCCCCACATCTCTGTAATAAAGCTGACTTGATCATGGTGATGATCTTTTTGATCTGTGTATGTCTATTTGGTTTGCAAGTATTTTGTTGAGAATTTTCACATCTATGTTCATTAAGGATATGGGTCTACAGTTTTCTATTTTGGTTGTATCTTTACCTGGTTTGGGTATTAGTATGATGCTGGCTTCATAGAAGGAATTTGGGAGTTCTCCCTCTATTTCTATCTTTTTGAATATTTTAAGTAGTATTGGATATAGATCTTCTTTAAATGTCTGGTAGAATTCTGCTTGAATCCATCTGGACCTTGGCTTTTTTTTTTTTTTCCTTAAGAGATTTTGTATTACTGTTTCAATTTCCTTATATGTTATGGGTCTGTCTAAGCTGTTAATCTCTTCTTTGTGTAGCTGTGGTGATCCCAATGATTTTAGATACACATCCATTTTTTTTTAGCTTTTCAAATTTAATAAGATATAGATTTTTAAAGTATTCCCTTATAATATTCTGGACCTTTTTGTTATCTGTTGTAATGTTTCCCCTTTCATCTCTGATTTTGTTGATTTAGAGTTGCTCTTTCTTTTGCTTAACTGGGCTAAGGGTCTGTCTATCTTGTCTGGCTTTTCAAAGAACCTGGATTTGTTGATTCTTTGTATTGTTTTCTTTGTTTCTATTTCATTAATTTCAGCTCTGACTTGTGCTATTTCTTCTTGTCTGTTGGGTTTGGGTTTCATTTGTTGTTGCCCTTCAAGAGTCTTGAGTTGCAATGGTAAGCCATTTATTTGTGCTCTTTCTGTTCTTCTAATAAAAGCACTTAGAGCTATAAACTTTCCCCTAAGTGTCCCAGAGGTTCTGTTGTGTTGTGTTGTGCTTTTCTTTTAGTTCCAGAAATACTTTTATTGTTTTCTTAATTTCTCTGTTGACCCATTCATCATTCATGAATGTGTTGTTTAATATCCATGAGTTCATGTAGTTAGTAGGGCTTCTTCTATTGTCAATTTTAAGCTTTATTGCATTATGATCTGCTTGAATACATGGAATTATTTCAATTTTTTTTTGTATTAGTTGAGACTTGTTTTGTGCCCCAGTATGTGGTCAGTTTTGGAGAAAGTTCCATGGGATGCTGAATAGAAAGGCTATTCTTTGGTGCTTGGGTGGAATATTCAGTGGTTGTCTGTTAGGTCCATTTGATGTATGGTATCATTTAATCCAGATGTCTCTCTGTTTATTCTTTGTCCAGTTGACCTGTCTAATGGAGACAGAGGGGTATTGAAGTCCCCTAGGATTAGTGAGTTGGGATTAATCTGGGTCTTAATGTACTGTAGTGCTATTTCAATGAAGTTGGGTGCACCAGAGTTTGGTGCATATATATTCATGATTGTAATATCTTCTTGGTCTATTGTTCCTTTGAGAATGAAGTGGCCCTCTTTATCTCTTCTGATTAATTTTAGTCTGATGTCTATTTTGTCAGATATTAGAATGGCAACTCCTGCTTGTTTCTTAGTGTCATTTGCTTAGAATATTTTTTCTGTCCTTTTACTTTAACTTAGTGCCTGTCCTTGAAGGTGAGATGGGGTTTTTTGTAGACAACAAAAAGATGGATTTTGTTTCTTAATCCATTCAACTAGCCTGTGTCTTTTGACTGGGGAGCTCAGTCCATTGATATTTAAAGTTATTCTTGAAAGATGTGTATTGTTTACTGTCATTTTAATTTCTGTTTTCTTTCTTGGTCTAATTGTGCATTTCTACCATTATACCTTCATTTAGTTTCTTTCTGCTGCCCCTTGGGTATAGTCATACCTTTTTTCAGCTCTTTGTATTGCTTCACAGATTCTCTGAAGGGCTGGTTTTGTGGACATGAATTCTTTCAATCTGTTTATGTTGTGGAAAATTTTTCTTCCATGACTTTTAAATATCTCATTGACAGTACACTGCACCTTAAGCAAAGGGCCTCAGAGTCCCTGGTAGTCAGAGGCTGAAGAAGGTACATTTGTGTTATGGTGTTGAAAAGAATACAAATTTTTATAAAAAAGTTCCAAGCTTCCTGGAAAACTCTGTTTTCTTGTGGTCATTCACCACCCCCACATTTAGCTCTTACAGTCTTTCCACCCTTTCTGATGTAATGATCCCTGAGCCCTAGGTGACAGAGGTTTAATACAGGAATCCTATTCAGGGACATGCACACTGCACTCTCTTATTCTCAATAATATATATATATATATATATATATGTTTTTTTTTTTCCCCCAGTATATATATACTGGGGGAAAAAAAAAAGAATGTAAGATTTTCCTCCTCAAAACAGCTACTTCTCGGAAGAAGCTGAGTGTGGGTATGAAGAGTGATACCCAAAGCAGTTGATTTGTACTTTCATTGTGTTTCCCTAACAGGACCTTTGAAAACACCTTTGATTCTTTTCTGGAAAATACTTCTGCAATCTTGGCAAAGCCTCTTTTGAGACTGTCTCTTTGGAGGTTCTGCTCCCTCAAGCAGAATATTCCTGAAAATCTCACCCAGTAGTCTCATCATTTTTGTAGGTTTCTAAATTTGAGTACACACAACCCCCATAGACCTCTCACAACAGTATGAGGCTGTACAAGATTGGTTCCCAGTCCTGAAAGCAGCATCCCCATGTCCCCAGTTCCTGTGCTGTGATGCTGCAGACATTTGTGGTACAATTCACCCAAGTTTTTGCAATAGTAAAGAATGGATAACAAAGGCCTGCATCTCCTCTTTTTAATTCAACTTACACCATCATTTTAACAGAGCCAAAAAAAAAAAAGTTTTAATTTCATGGTGCATGTGAGTATCATTAAACACAAATTATGGTTGACAAGAAAGAAACTTAATCCCACATTTTGGGCTTAATCACCACATAGCCACTTTTTTCATAAGTAAGTTTCTGCCAGTTTATAATGTTGCCCCTTTCACACCTGTCAGACATCTTCTCCAGGGGAACCACATAGTCCCATAGGGACACGTCCCATATCTCCCCAACAAAGGATTGTCTGGCATCAAAATGTCCCCCAAAGGAATCCTGCTCTTGTCCCAGGATAATCTTTGCCTCCGCCCCCACTGTATAGTCCTTCCTCAAGCCCTTCCTCCCAACAGGTTTGTCATCTATCCAGAATTCCACAATCCCAGAGGCAGACTCCCAGCTGACACAGATGTGGGCTGGGTCATGAGGCTTTGGAGGTACTTTGAAAATGACACCCTTATTCCCAACATAGAACCCGTATTCTCCCACTTTTTCCAGAAAGAGAAGCACTTCATTGTCTTGGGTCCGAGTGTTGTAGGAGAAGAGGCTGTAACCACGGGTGAGGTCGGAGAAGGCCTTCAGACACAGTGTGAAGTTCTGCAGTGGTTTCTTCACCTGGGGGATCAGGGACACATAGGCAGTGTCAGATTCTTGAGGGAAAAGAAACACCTTTTCGCCCATATCTGTGGAGAAAAAGCAGTACAAAAAGTTGTATCAGCTCTACAGTTTGATTTGTTCTGACTGCGGACCCAGAGCGGCTTCCTGACAGGACATACAGCTTGCTGTAGCTTATAGAGTTCCTTTAAGTATGTTAGCTTAGCACTGTTAATTAAAAAATGCAGTGTTAAAGGCAGGCTTGGAAAGGGTGTGGTGTCCATGCTTGAAATTCCAGCATATCAGAGATGGAGGTAGGAGGATCAGAAGTTCAAGGTCATCCTCTGCTACACGGTGCATTTGAGGCCAACCTGAACTGCCTGGGTTTATTACTGACAGTAACACAGCAGCATAATGAAATGAATGTCTCAAACAAATAAACAATAAAAAGACAGACGTCTTCATTTGTCCTCTTAGAAAGGAAAATTTAAGGGGCTAGAGACATGGCTCAGTGGTTAAGGGCACTAACTGCTTTTGCAGAGGACCCGGTTCAATTCCCAACACCCATATGGTGGCTATGAACCATCCTTAACTCCAGTTCCAGGGGAATCCAAAGCCCTCTTCTGATTTCCGCGGCATTGCACAACATGGGTGCACTCACATACACGCAGGTAATACACTCATACACATAATATAAAAATAATAAATAAAATTTTAAAAAGAAAGGAAAATTTAAAATTTCTTATATCAACCCTACCTCCAATTTCCTTGAAGACTTCAACTATATAAAAGAAGAAATACTAGTGACAGAAAATTAAACACAAGTGACTAATGGTGATGGACAAAGCAGGCAGCAGTCCATATTCTCCCCCACTAATCAGATCATGAGTTTCCTCCCAGAATGCTTGCAGCTGGGGTTAGGCATATCCTGAAACTTGCTAGGATAGACCAACACTTGTGGTTGGTACAATGTCTGAGGAATAGAATCTTGTGTAAATCATTTGACCTGGACTGTGATCATATGCTGACCTTCCTTCCCACTCTATGGAGCAGCTCTTGTACCTAATTCAGCTAGCTTTGCTTCATAGTAAGAAATGGAAAAACAGTATGAAATCCTATTTCCTAAGATATAAGGGTTTTGTAAGAAATACTTATACCATGGGCACCTGGAGGATGGGAATAAAACACTTAGAGGAAATAAGGCTAAGGAGAGTGAGCGTGAGAGCAAGAGTGAGAGCGAAGCTAAACTTTCATCACTATGTCAACCCCAAAGCATACTTCTCACCTCAAAAGATGATAAGAAATAGTTTATTCTGGAGCCAAATATGAGTGGCCATGGCCCAGGAACAGAAATCCAGGTTACCCCAAATTCCATGTTCTAATGTGGAAGCAGTTTCATGAAATTTTTATAGAACTAAAAAACTGAGGGATATTATAGATAAAATCTAAGATCCGTGGACACTATCAACACCCCCCAAAGAACACATGGACTAAACAAAGAGTAACTTGGCAAGACAGATTTTACTTTTGCATAAGCATGCAATGCATGGTCATTCAGATCCAGTTTAAAAGAATCAGCTCAATGGGAGAAGAACACTACCCCAAGCCATCAGGTTCAGGAATGTATCAGTGCCTTTCCTTAAACAAGTCATACAGGGTATAGTAGAATTAAAGGATTAGAGCTTCTTATCATAAACCAAGTTCTAAGTATTATAGGGTTTGAAATAAAAGACTAATATTTATTATTTCTTGCAGGGGAATATATGAAACCAGCAGAGTTCCCCTTGTCTGAGCTATTAGTGTAACATAAATCAGGGGTGGACAGGCAGGACAAAAAGGGAAATATTAAGACTTCAGTTTAAGAATAAATAAATAGTTTAAAAGCAGTTATCCAAATATGTTGGAGTTATCTCATTGTGTCTCTTAGAGGAAAGAGACTGGCTTAGGCCATCTTGGGGATCAGCTCTTATAACATATCCGAGAAAAGGCCACATGCTAGTATATCTGACCTAGGTACAAGAATATGGATGAGTCTAGGGGATTTTTAAGTGGGTCTCCAGCTAATAAAACAGAAGCAAAGGATCCTAAAGTGTTTAGCAGCGTAGATCATTTCAGCAACAGATGCAAACTCACCAACAACACTTCAATGTGAGTCTCACCAGGACCATACAGAAACTTCCAGAGTGACTGAGACATACCTCCCATGTGACCATACTTAGGAGCCTGAGGAGTTCTCCTAAGTTTTAGAGCCCTCCACTCAAGACAAACCAGGATTCTTGGCTTCAGTTATTGAGGGAAATTCTAGGAACAGCTAGTATAAAGGTAATTTAATGCAGACTTAAGCATGAAAGTTAAAAGAGTTGCTCTAGGGAAGAAAAATGTGAGCTATATTAAAGCGAGTAGAGCTTCCAAGAAGAAAAGTGGTCTTTCTTAAAATAGGCCATAATCTATTTGCCTATATAGCTTTTCTGTAGGAGACAGAGAATACAGGCCAAAGTCAGAGGAAGACAAGACAAAAAGACTAATCTTGGAATTTATCTTTGGTTCTGATACAGCCTCTAAAATTTTTAAATTAATTTCTTAGTTTTAATATTTACCTTTACTTGCATGTAGTTTTTAGTGTACTTATTATTGTAAATTATTTTATAGTTTCCTTTGCCTTTTCAGATGATTTTACATTTCAGTTGAAGCAGATTGCCTATGTGATGGTTTTAAATTTTATTGCCTAGTGTTATGGGAAAATCAGAGACCAGCAGCCTAAGTCAGGTGAGGAGAGTGATTTAATTTTATGCTAGTGGACTGACCCAGGGATCCTTCCATAAAGGATCCAGTACCACCGCTCCAGTTTTAGGGGGGTTTATATTCATGTGAGGAAGACAAGTAAAAGACAAAACAGCACATAGGTGGCAATTAAGTAAAAGGTACATGTGATAATTAAGCAAGGTGATGTATGGCTGCAGGGATTACAAAGACTTCCTTCCAGGTTGACCATAGGGGGTAGGATGGGGGAAGACTTCAGTTTATCTCCCCAGTCTTATCTCTTGTCTAGGAGCTCTTCCTGCTCCAAAGTTCTTAATTACCATCACATTGGAAAAGCTTTCCATCTCCACAATATCCCCTCCTCTTTATTGACATAATCCCTTATGTTATTTAAAAGAAACTTTAAGATATTTTTGACTATTACCTGGCATTTGAGGGCCTCTACTTATTTTTGACAAATTTAGTGAGTTTATCATCCAAGATTTTAACAGGAACGCTAATAGAACCATCACTACTGGTTCTTTTAGTGAGGTGAGCCAGGGACCTGGAGTTTTCTAAGGTATCTTTTCAGGAAGACTCATTTCCCTCTTTTCAGGCCTTTATTTTCTCCAGTAGCTGCCTTGCAGGTTTGATTTACATAAAAACACTAAGAATACCTCCTTTTTGTGGTTCTGGCATCTTTAGTCTTAGATATAAGTTCACTGGCAGACCCAAGGAATTTTCCAGCTTTCAGTTGAGAAAGAAACTGGTCATTTTTCTTTTGGATGCTTTACTTTAAAACTGTCTAACTTTTACCTTTTATTTTTATTACTTTGAAGAAAGAGGTAACCCAATTTGCCCAAGGGAGTCGGGACGCAGACCGCACTGGTTTCTTCCATGCTGAACAGAGACGCAGGGTATGGTAATTGGGGTACTCCTTCAGTGGGTCTATCTAAAAGACTCTCAAATTGCATAAGTTTTAACTGTAGAGAGAAAAGAAAGTCCTTGACCAATGCCTTGAAGATATGAAGGGAGAAGTAAAGGCAAGAATATTTAGCATTACAAGTTCTAGACTGGGAACCAGAAAAAAATCAGAACAGGACAAATTTTAAATGTCCAAATTAAAGTCCGCTGAAATTTCTTGATGAGGGCTTCCAAAAGCATCCATCTATTGAGTTCCTCCTCATTTTTCTTTTGGCCACAAAGGCTGGACTCAAGAGGGATGAACTCAGGATTTGTTTTCAGGCACTCTGATAGCTGTTGGAGTGGCTAGAATCAGTCTTCTAGACAGGGAGAGAAAATACATTTGGCCATCATTTTAGAACAACAGTAGCTGCAGGTGAGCACTACAGTTTTGGAGACCAAGATTTGAAGTCTTACACGTGAGCAGCATTTTCTTGTTATGAACAAAATCACTACTGAGAAATAATTGTTTAAATAGCATTTTACCTGGACTTAAGTCTAATGTCTGGGAAATGAATCCTTTGGACTCTTAAAGAAATATACTGATCACTTTAATTTTTGGTTATACTTTCCTTTTGGGTGCTTAAGGCCATACAGTTGGCCCAAATAAACCAGTTTACTTTTACTTTAAGGTTGATTGAGGAGCTGGTCCTCAGGGGTCACATGGGCTTGGGGGGTGCCTCTGGCTCCTTAGGCCTTTTATTTTACCAGTTCCATCTAGCTGAAGATAAGTCAAAAGGTCCTGCTCAACCTAGGCTTCGCTTGGAAGCATGGAGGAAATGTTTCCTTTCTGTTGACCCTCCTCTTTGTAGACTGGACACTGGTTTGAGTGCCTCTGGTGGGGTCTCCATGACCTCCCCGAACAAGAGGACAGGTGACTCATCACAGCTACAGGACATATCAAGAGACTCCCATAGTCCCCTGGGACATTGGCAATCTTCCAGGGCAAGGAACAAAATGTTACGGTTCCAAATAGCAGCTCCACCCCCTCCCCAACAGGGACCTACAAACTCTGCTGATAAGCAGCCTGCCTTTCCTCTGACCTCTAAAGATAAGCAGAGTTCCTCTTATCTTAAGAGGAAAAAGAAAACACTTCCACACCCTAATCCTACCTGCTTCCCTTCCCTTCCTTTCCATCTTTCCCTTCATGGACATCTTTCCCTTCTCGAGGGAAAGGTGCCCCTTGTGAAATAGATCTGTGTCCACTGAGAATTCCATCTGAGCCTCCACTCCATCCACGCCGCTCGCTCCTGCCCATTCTTTACCTATCAGATGGTGCCATGACTCGGATCTTACTTGAAGGGACCTCGCACGTAAAACTTTTGGACTCGCTTGTCATTACTGGCCTCTGTGAACACCACTAATTCGGCATTAAGGTACACTTCCA